ATTGATGGCATTGCAACTGCTATTTCCATTATTATTTATAAATATTTTCAAAATGATCAACAAGAAACGAAAGATGAATTTTAACGAGGTTCTATTTAGTTCTGTTTGCTCCAAGCACTGACTTACGTTATCAAATTTGGTTGGAAATTCTGTTTCCAGTTCTGGTAAAAATTTTTCAAATGACCCCAAACACAACGTAACCACATATAAGCTCTGTAATTTGTTGGATGTATTTCACGGGTTCTGGTAATAAACAGTAGGCTGTTGTAACTCTGCAGAGGAATACCGTTACTTTCTGAACAAGATTCGCTGTGAAACCGGTGGAATTCGTTCTGTTGCATCATGGCTTGATCCGTCACCAGTGGAACCCAAGGTCAATGTGCTTGCCGTAGATCCTGCCTGTAAGGAGGTCTTCTACCACAGTCGGAAGGATGGGAAATGGCAACAGTACCAAGCTGTGGAAGACGTTCATTGTAATCATTAACAAAAAACTCTCAGAAGTAGATATTGTATCTTTGGTTTTCATACAATGTTGATGATTGTTGCTGTTGTGGTAACTGGATTTTCCGTTATGATAAGTAGATAACAATAATGTCGAAAGAAGAATTTACTAATTTTACTTGTTCATTATCTCGGTAAAAGTTTCAATTTCTCGTGGATGTTTGTACATTTAAAGACACTGGCAATGACCGACTGAATCAAAGGTCGGAATGTTTCGTTAGCGATCGAGCGAAGTAGACCTAGGGTAACAGGAGCGCTACGTAATTTGAGCCACAAACACTTAAAAGCAATAGTTTCATTTGCTGTGTTGATTTGAAAACAGACCTGGCCTTCAAGAGTGTGAATGTTTTACTCTCGACATGGTTTTACAGGGAACCAGCAGTGCAGAAAAACGTATACTTTCAACCTTCAGAACAAATATAGGAGCCGAAACGTACTCCCTCGAGGGAGATGTGAAATTGTGAAGTAAAACCCAGATGACGCCAGATGTTAAATAAACGCAGAAGTTAGGTATCTCAAAAAGAAAAACGTCGTAATTTTGAGAGTCTTGCGCATATCCACTATATGAATTGCTTTAGTGATACCATAGGCGCCTCTTGAAATTATCATCAACATAGATAGCATGTAGATAGACTTAAATTTTAAAAGTAGGAGTATTTTTGTCAATATTTTATACCAGTGTAGTGATAGGAACAGTTTCTGGTAAAACAAGAAACCTGATGGATTTTTAGGAAGATCTATGAAGTATCAGACCGTGATCTAACTAGTTGGTGTTTACCAGTTGCTCTCAGGAAATGGTTTTTATTTTGGGGCTCTTTTCGCCGCAGGCTCTTGACAAACGTAGGAACATCTTAATTTCGCATAGTAACTAATTAAACGCCCAGTTATGTGCGTACTGAAGTGAAGTCAGTAGCTGAATTTTAGCTTTTCGTTGAGGAAAAGGAAGTCTCGATCTGCCAGAGTGGGTGCAACACTTCTGACCTAGCGAAACCGAACAAAATGATAAAGTAGCAAATATTACAGAGCTCTGTGAGCTCGGGATTGAAGAATTCTATTATTACAGAGATCTAGCCTGATTTTATTCTACGATGGTCACGTACATTGGTTATTTATGTGATTGCAATAAACATTTGTCTACGTGTTAGTGCTTCATTGTAATGAAAAAAAAACCTTCTGTGTGCTTAATACGTGATCTACCAACAACATCGATTTTGATGGAAGCGAAATAATTTGAAATCATTTCTAAATATTGAACGTTTTAACGGGGCAAAATTGACATTTAAAAATCACGTTAATGGGTTTACATCACCAATAAATAACCGCAGGTTATCTTAAATCCGCAACAGTAAATCACGCATTGGTTGTCGTTTAATCAATAACGTTCCCGCAACAATTATAACGTTTCCCGTTAGTGGTCCCTCCCAAAGCTTAGAATTGAAAAATACAAAACAAAGAAAGCTTTTATTCTCTCTTTTTGGTCTCAAAAGCAAGACTAGTAACCAGCTTTCTGTTGAGGTAAGTTAGTATGTTATCAGCCAAGCTTCAATAGACGAAGACCGCCTCTCCTTCAAGTCTGTCTTCCAACAACGATATGAGTGCAAATCTTCAGTTTGAGTTACGGTAAATTGACCGCTGGTTCTTTTTAAAAACATGTGTCCTCTGAGTATGTTTTTACATTTGTATTTGTGAGGAATGAAATGTTAAGTATGCTATGATGTTTTCCCGGTCGGTTTCTTTGGATGAGCAGGTTGTTGATGTTAGAATTAACGGTTATTGCATTTTTTTTCTCTTTGATTTCCCGTTAATATTTTATCTACTTGAGTAAATAGCTTGTAATTTTAAGAGTTCTTATACTTTCTTTTACGCTTATCATGATGTTTCATTAGATGCCTCTCGAAGGAAAATATGACTCGGCGAATGTCTCACAGTGTCTTCAAATTTAATTTAAATTACACTTAGTTTTTCAATTGCTGAAAAGTTTTTCAATTTTCCAAGATTGGGTTACTGTACAACCAGCCACCTTGACTTTATGAACGTAAATTAACGAAAACATTACTGCTAAAGCGTGTATTTCTCATTTGCTTGTAGTCGGTCTTCCATGTGCAATTATTTTTAAGACATCTGCCTGATGTTGTTTTGAAGCTTCAAAGCCAATCGTTTTGTGAGGTATATCCATTTAGCTGATATCTCCTGCTATTTTGAAGTTCATTTCAGCTTGACTCACCACCGAAAGGCTCCGAAAAGACGCCTCAAGTCAAAACTGCAAAACTACTAACAAAACTTTTCTTCTTTGAGGTAAGAGCTTTTTGTATTTAACAATTTACTTACGAAATCATATCATCTTTTTTTTGTTGAAGGAATCAAAGGTTTAAGGAAATTTCGCCATTGCAGGCTAAGGAAAGACAGTTCTCTATTGAATATTGCTGCAGTATGTCTTAGGTTATTCGGCAATTATATAAAGATTTGGGTTGTTATAACTATGCGTGAAAAGTTTGCCTGTGTAGATTTTCAATATAGCAATCTTCTTCGTTTCGACGAAAAGTAAACGGTGATTTTTTTTTTAATGGCTATACCAATTAAATCATTTTTAACTTCAGGCACAAAAAATAAAAAAAAATAAAAAAATAAGTTGTGTCTGATTTCACGTCTCCGAGACGAACCATTATTCAGTTTTGTAAACTTATTTGCAAATCACTTCTTAGTTGTAACTACCGTGGGAAGGTTTCTACTCTTTCAAGAGAAAGAAGAAGTAGAGATTTTTTTTAAATGGAAAATTTTTTCGTAAGACTCTGATTTTTAGCAATTGCTTTGTTGTAAATTTAAACTCAAGTTTATCCCGAAAAAGCTCAATTCGGGCGAAATTTTTTTCATCTGGAATTTGATCATTAAGGCTAGCGATGTCCAAGGTCAAGAAAAGGGAAAATGATGTCTTCATTACGATTCTTTGCTATGGACTTCGGGATAAAATTTTTACTCCGTTGCATGAATCACGAAAACTGTAAGAGACAACATCAATAGGAATCTTTTCGACTTTTGAGCAACAGAGCCGGAGTTCTTTGCATATTTTCCTACGAGAGCATGCTCTGAATTGATAATTTTGATTGGTAACCAAAGTTTAATCATTTTTCTCGAAGATATATTTATTCCATTAGAAATCAGTATTACAACGGTTCATTTCGTAAACAATTTTTTTGATTAAATGACTTTTCCTCGTTCAATTCAAGAGTAAGGAAAACTAAATTAAGCAATAGACAGCACTTCCTATCAGTCTGTTGGCATAATGACCCACACAGGATGTTAGGAGAACATGCAAAAAGTTAGTAAAGTACGGGCCAGAGGCGAATGATTTACAAAGTTTTCGAGTGCATAGACGATAAGTTTTTGACCAATCAGGGCGCTCGTCTTATCTCAGTAATTTTATGAAACTTACTGTTTTTGGGAATAATTCGCACAGGGAAAAACTTCATTTTTATTCAAACCAATGGACTTTTCTTTCATATCTAAATTATCGATGTAAATTGGCTCACTGATGAAAGATGGGAAAAGATAAAAAAAAATATGTCATTTAACTGCTTATTGCACAATTCAAAATATGTACATAGTCAAAATATTCCTTTGAATTTATTTTAATGTTAAGAGCAATGGCTGTTTAATCTTTTTCTCTGATCGTATCGCGAATCGCATTTTAAAACTGGTCGACTTAAATAAATCAATGGGTTTTTTTATGATAAAGTACATGTACTGGACAAATCAAGCATAATTGATTAATGCAAAAACGTGTTTTAGGTTGAGTTTAGAATGATAACAAGATGCGATTGACCTTCGCTAACAAATGAGTTCATGTTTTTGGCAAATCTCGAAAAATTGCTTTTATCTTCCTTTGTGAATTTTTCTAAAGTAAGTGTTAAGTTGCCAGTTTTTTCATTCTTTTCATTTAAGCGGAGTAAATGAAGTGCAGAGAGACAAGTAGATGTGTATGAGTAACGCTTCACATGTAGACATTTTGTTCACGAACTAAAGATTGTTTGTATTAAACATTCTTTCTTTTTTCTAAGATAATCATTTAAAGAGCTTTTCAGAACTCAATCTACCGAACAAGATTACTCTTTAGAACCGAACACTTTGGGTTGCAACCTCTGACACGATTATGACCTCGTCATTTGACCCAGAGAAACTCAAAAGCTAGCAACGTCAGGTGTGCTTGAATATTGAAATAAATGAAATGTTTTTATAATTGTTATAAAATAGTCTTTATGACGTCATTGTACATGTGTAAACACAAATCTATGCCCAATGTTTGTCGAATCGCTAAATTCCAAAGGTTGTACTATGATCCACCTTCAGTTATGGGGGAACATTTCATTAATTCATAGAGAGTTTCAGTACATCATTCAAAACGCGCTAATCTAACTCTCAAGATTGCTAGTGAGACTCTGTAGACATTTTGTACTTATCTGATTCGTTTTCGAGGAAGTGTTTATCTTTTTCCCTTCACTATTAATTAATGGTTCGATAGTGTGCCTATAATGTGTTTAGCTCTTAGCTAGCGGTAAGAGTATCACACAGGACGCTAATCATGATCGAAAATCGATTTATTCAAGAATATTCTAATCATTCGTCACTAATCGAGGCAAATATTTGATTTGCAAAGTTTGTCTATTACAAACTACAGCATCTGTTACTTCAATAATATTAACAGCAATGTATTCCTTTCGCGACGAAAACAAACCTTTCTAGATTTTACGATTCCTTTTAAAATGATCGTGCGGAAAAAAAGCTTTGACTAAACTGTGAACCAAACGCTACATAACTACTAAATTATTAACATTGGTAATACCTCACAAATACGTTTTGACTGAAACGAATTTGAGACATTTCCAATGCAGTAAACAATGCAATTAAATTTAATGGTATTCTCAAATTTTAGTGGCATTTTAGCGATTGTTGCTTTTTGTTTCAATCTTCCATTCCCGAAGAGCTGATTTAGTAATTATTTTTGAATAGACTTATATCTTGTAGCATTACTTATTTTTAATTCAATGTGTTTGAGGCAATTTACACCTGCTAGCCAATAAGCGTGAAAAAGGATGTTTAATTTTTCTGGCCAATGGGAAACGATGTCGAAAAATGAATCTTATTGATATTAATAGCTGTTGAAAGATTCTAGAATAGGAGACCAGTGAGTTGAAGCTTCTCTTCAGAAAAAAACGTTTTATTGAACACACGGTCGCTCTATTATACTAACACATTATTTACACTAAACCTTGTTATCTCTCCTTAGAAAACCCGCTCAAAGCAGTATGGGAGTTTCGTTTACAACGAGGAAGGGAACTGTCGTTATCTGGTTCCTAATTATAACATTCTTTCACGGACTACTAACAAGGTAAATAATGAGAAAAATTCACACTGAGTATATATTTAATTATCTAGACAATATCCTTGAAAGTATTCAGATTCGCACTAAAGAAACTATCAATGTTTCGTTTACCCTTTTCCTTCTTGCGTAATATTTTCAACGCTCATTGTTCAGGAATACCGACTGCGATTCTCGACTATGTTTTTCTTGTCATACCCAAAACAGCGTGGGACGCCAAGCTGACTAGAAAAATGCCCGAAGTTTACAAAACAATCTTTCTATTTATATGAAGTTTGAATGCGAAATAACCGCTCTGAAGGGAACGTACAAAACTGTCAAAGTGGAAAAAAACTCAACAGTCGCTCGTGTATTTTGTCACCTTTTTTTTAAAACCCATAATGAAAGTAATTTAGTTATGGTAACATAATGGCATAAACAATGTACAGTAGAAATTGAAGTACCTCGAAACGACCGTACTTTCTCACTATAAACCACATCTAACTTTCTCCTCTGATATTCAACTCTATTGTTGTGTACTCAAATTGGAGATTTTTCATTAAAAAAATGGTTCACAGAAAGCTCGCACGTTTGAGATGTTGAAGGACATTAAAAATGGTTCATACACGTTTAGTTTAGGTGTTTTTATTTTGCATTATAAAAATATGAATAGGGGCGTGTAAGCTACGAAACTGAGATCAATGGATCTCAATTGAACGACAAAACTTCCTCGGAAACACGGTTTTTTTCCGTCGGACACCCACTGTAAGAGAGTTAATTTTTTTGATGGGAATGTAAAGGGAGGTCTCGGCATACCATTATCAGTTTGATCGTAAGCGAAAATAGATTAGGAAAATAAATCTAAATTAAAATACATTTTTGAAGCAACAGTGGCGAATATTTTGATAATTCTTGACGTATTTCTAAATATAGAACCAAAGAGGATTATTAAAAATTTACTTCTTTCCGAATTAATTTACTGTTTATCATTGCAAGTGAAATTAATTGTTTTGTATTTTATAACGCAGAATTTGTTCCTGTCTTCCTTCCTCAATTACGCATATCACAGACAAAGAACTGACTTGCTATAAAAGTGTCATTCAGTTACCGTTTAACTTACACTCCATGTTATTTCATGCTAGCTACACCAAAACTTTTGTATTTACATGAAGCTGAAAGACCATTTCTGTTGAATACCTAACTGACGTTTTTCCCACCTGAATGAATACTCTGGTGAAAAGGGAAAGAAATATTTTTCGGCTTGTTGTACTTGGTAGAGTTTCTCCCTATAAAACTATGGAGGATTTTGAAAGATAAAGTTCTAACGAGTCCAACAGATCACAACACAAACTCAGTAAGTGACGATTCCCTTTTTTCACACTTATGAGTCTTACTCGTTCTTGATATCAATACGACGAAGTACATAACGAGCTTGAATTTAAAATATGAGATAGCAATTTCATAAATAGGTGTAAGGTTGTTACGGTTTTTCGATGCACTTTTGTTTTGGTACCACTCCTATATTAAACATACAGTTTTATGTATTCTACCGAGACTAAAAGCAGAGCTTTCATTCTGTAGTTTTTGCACGAGAGTACAATAAAGCAATTTGCCTGAAAAAGGCTTTACAATTTTGAACGGACAGTCGTCTTGACGGACAGACCGACGGAAATCAGGTGAAAATCAAATTTCCAAGCCAGGATTGATTGTTCACATTCAATATTCTATATATTTTATTTTGTATTGAGTCCCCAGGCTGGAATTGTGTTCATACTAACCTTAAAATTTAAAACATGGCTACATGACAGAAACATTGGACAGGAAGTGAATTCAGAGTCCGTTATTTCCAAAACTGAATGACGTAAGAACCATTTTAATGTAAATAATTTACTCAAAAAAAGAGGTATCTCGCTGCTTGACACCAACAGTGATAACTTTAAGCCTACAACACATGCAGGTATAAGGAGAGAACACGGTCATTCGCAGCCGGCGGCCCAGCACGTACTACTGATAAGCGCACGGTTTACGTGCGGTATTTTCCGCACATCATCGTGTTTCTCTTAGTTAAGTTTTCAAAATTCATCTAAATTTTTCGGCAAAATGACGATGAAGTTTTTTTTTTTCTCGATATAAAATGGTAGCCAAACTTTTAGTTGGATGTATTCTCTAAGGCTTCAGATTAGATAGCCGGCAGTAGCTCTTCCTTCTAGCATGATGTTTGATAATCCTTGGGCACGAACGTATGATGAGTTCATGACGCCCCTAATATTTTCCGCCCTCTTGGTTTTGTTTTTTTTCATTTCTTTCATTTTATTTGTGAGAATTCTTTGGGAATGCTTCCGCTCTTATTTTCCTCACTCCGCACCTTGGAAAGGAGGTTTGGGTCTAAAATTGGCTATTCTGAAGATATACTAATGGGAACGCAATTTTTTGCAAGTGTATTTTATCGAAATTTCAATCCTAAAACAAGATCGTAAAACTGATGATATGGTCTTGACTACGTATTTTATACTTGACTGGATCGTTTCCAGTCTGTGCGGTTAAGGTATTGTATTTGCATTAAGTAGAAGAATTGTACTACATCGATTCCCTCAATGCCGAGCCGGAGGCCATCATATGCAATAGTTAACTGAGTCAGCATTTTTTTATACACTTTGTACAGATAAGTATTGAGAAGCGCATAAAGTTCTACAAATTTAGATTTTGCATGGAGCTGAATCAACGGAAGAATCTTTAAATCTTGGAATGTGTTAATTCTCGTTTGCACCGCCCCTTCCCACACAGTTCAATTTTATCCATAGAACTTCTTTTTCTGATCGCCTTTAGAATCCAAAAAGAATTTATGAAGTAAAAAGGACTTTACCATTGGTCGTTACATTGTTCAGCGTTTCAAGTACTTTTGTCCTGATTGTAGAATTCGAAAAACAGCAACAACGTATTCGTGACGGCCTTAAGAGTAATCCTAAAAATGGACTGTTCAAGTATTGTTTGTTGTATTTTAAAGTGGTATTTGTAGGGACTCGGATTGGAAATTCAGCTAACCGCAGCGACCACTTTAACACGGAATGTGAATGAATTGCTATAAATGAGACATGGTGATATTTACATTTATGGTGTATCTTTTGTTTCGGTTAAACCCTGCAGGACTTACTTGTTTTAAAAAAGCAACAACAAAAGCAGTAATAACTCAACTGCAAAAACATCAAAAACAAATTTTGTCACGCATCCAAAATGTAACTTAACAATAGTTTTTGAGGTCCCTAGAGGTGTTAATAAGGCAATGAGCTCCAATCCGCAATTATGCGTTGGTGGCTAGCATTAGTGGTTAGCCTTGTAACTGTTTTTCACCTGAAAGCTGAATCAGAGCCTGGGATACAAGATGAGTTGCGTAATATCAAGCAGTATTCTACACATACTTTATTGGGTATCAGCTGTGATCTATTTTTGAACAGATATACCGTCAGCATTGAAACTATTCGCTAAAAACTTGTGCCGGTGTTTTATAAATGAGTGGGCTGTCAGCTATTCTGCAAACAGATAACATCCCTACACACCCATCCCAAATAACCATTTATGACTTTATTGTCAGGAGTGTCCCAGGAGCTGGTTTTAAACGACTGCCCAGGAGTTTTAATAGTACTTTGACAAGAAGCAGCAAAAGAAAAGGTATACCGTATATTCAGCTAAAAAGGTAGCAAGATAGCTTAATCTAAACAGAGTTATATATTTTTTCCAGAATGAAAAGGGAATTTCAGTATTCTCCCTCATTTTTGTGTACGGGAACCACACCTGTCACCCGTGAGTTGTACCTTTTTTCGGTTGCACGGGAACCATACCTGTCACCCGTGAGTTGTACTCTTTTTTGCATGGGTACCATACCCGTCACTCATGAGTTGTACCCTCTTTTGCAAGGGTACCATACCTGTCACCCGTGAGTTGTACCTTTTTTCGCGTTTTGGTTTATTTCGCCTTGG